TCAATATAAGTCATTTCTTTCAAAAGAAAAATACTATTGGATGGAGTAATGCACTAGGACTCAATGAGTGGAGCCGGACGAAGCGAAGGGTAAACCGTAAACCATGGCAGTCAGAGAAGATATACAAGTCATCAAAGTTCCTAAGGGTCATTTAGGTGGAATTAATTGGGGTTTAGACCCTACAAGTAAACCCTAAAATAAATTAGATAAACTAAAGAACAAATCATATATTACCGCACAAAAATCAAACTTTACATGAACATAAATTTAACGCACCAGATCAAAATGAACTTGATAAATTTAAGTCATCAAATTTGTCTACGATGTAAAGTACCATTGCTTAAAACTATTGGTCTTTGATTTGACAATACTATAGTTGCCTAATTACATCAATAACATATCGTAATTGTTGGGTGTGTATTTTCAGGTCTCCGACCTAACGATTCATATATACCATCCCAGGTTTTTTTTATAAAGCGGAAGGCAAATCACCAAAATCAGTGGCGTAAATGTCGAGGAACATTTGCCAGATTTTATTGAAAATAAGAGAATACAAAATGAAGAGTGTGACTAGACCAAAACCTCTTCTAGAATGCACACCCTCTAAAAATACACGTGTGAAAATAAAATAAAGCTCTAATGGGGGCCAGCCTGACCCCAAAGAGAAAAACTACAGCAAAAGAAATCAAAAAGCTAGAAAACTAATAAAAGCATCTGAAAGAGGGGAGCCCAAATAAGTCTCTGAAATAAGCATGACGGGCCAGTAAAGGTAAATCGTTGTGCCTTCGATAAATATGCAATTGGGCTGAAGAATTATTTGCTAAATGGTGAGCGGCCCAATTACACTCACGCAAGGTATGTCCGGTTGATACTCCTTGCCTAATTTGAAGTTGCTTCATCTCCTGAATCAGGACATTCCACCTTCCGTACCTGGTCGAAACAAGAGAACACCTTCACCGCATCTGTCTCAACAAGAAGAAGTAGTCTGGCTGAACACTCTCACACTCATTGTATCTGGTGGCTGGTGCCTCACAAAGAAGACCAAGACTGGTGGCCAGCTCTTGTTTCACTCGTACGTTCTAGGGGTGGGCATAAAAAACCGTAACCGATTAACCGTACTAAATAAACCAAAAAATTGGTGTTTTTCCGGTTAACCATACCATGTTTTAAAAAATTCACGGTACAGTTAACCAACCGAAAGAAAACAACGATAAACGGTACGGTTATGGTTTTGAAACTAAACTACCACCGGTTAACCGATAATCCAAAGTTAAATATTACATCTAAACTAATGTCAAAATCAAGTATTCGTGAGTCCGTGAGTATGGTCTCGTACTGGGAATAACAACATGTCTGTTAAACTGTTAATATTAGAGTCGAGCTAAAAAGTGGTGGTTCATTGAGATTGGAGCTATTATATTATTATTAGTTATTAATTAATTAAGTAATTTTTCATACGACACAATCACAATTGAGGCAGGTGTCTATCCCACTGGAAGACTATATGTACTGCTTCAGTGCTCAATAATACCGAGTATATGGAAAACCTTGTAGGGGAGCTATGTCCAATTCTTACTGGACAACAAAATCTCTGGGAGTAAACAATATGAGCAACGCAATCATAGGAATGCTAGCACATAATTGAGCCGTAGATGTTCAATTATACGAGACGGCACATTTTTAGTTGTTCAAATGGTTTTTTGGTTAACCAATAATTGGTTAACATATATTACGGTTAAATTTTACATGGTTAACCGATGTTATGGTACGATTAATGATATTATAAATATATTAACCGAAATCACGGTTAACCAAAAATTGATTAATCGAAATGCGGTTAACCAACCGTGCCCACCCCTAGTACGCTCTAGACAACAAAGAAAGGGGTACCTCTGACTTATACAAGTCGCAAGGGTTGAGGACAAAATAATATAGAGAGGCCCCATAAGAGGATAACAACAGATAGAATACCGAGGGGTCAAAGGGTCAAGCGGTCAAAGGACAAAGGGTCAGTTCAATAAGTGAGTTAATGGATAGGCAACATGAGAGGGAGAAAAACACGAGGACTTGATAGGACGATACTAATGATTATAAGTTATAACAATAGTAGCATTTCAAATATTATTTTTGTATTTATTTAATTATTTATTTATTTATTATTTCAGTTAATAAAAGAAAAAGCATATTAAGATATTTAAAAAATTAAAATTATAATAATATAGCTATAATTGCATTTGTAATATAACATAATACTAGTATAACATTTTGTGATATTATTCTACTCTATTTGACAAAAGAATTTACTTTATTTGAGTCTGATCTATTTTTATCAAATGTATAAGTCATCTTAAATATGCTATTTGTGAAAGTTAAATTGAGATACTATACACCAATTATCATTATTATAATTATAATCATTTGTATTAATGTTATAGTGTAATTATGGTTACTATTATAATAAACTTATGTTGTTTTTACTTACACTTATGTCTTAAACTAAATTTCTTGCTTACAGTTCGTTATCATAATAAAAAATCTTTGTATCTTCTCTAAAGAATTTTTTGAATGATTGACTTTCTTTCTCTGCATTTTCTCGGCCAAGGGTAATTATCGTTACTGAACAATTTCACTTGATTAGTTCAGGGGTCAAAAGAAAATATTAAATATGAGGATATAGTATAACACTATACTTCGTAATAATTATTGTTAGTGTTATAAAGTATTAAGATAATTTATTGTGGGAGGTGACAACTGTGTGATTGAGGTTTGTGCAGAGGAGAGAGAATTAATTGGAACCTCAAATTCTTTACTTAAAAGGGAAAGTGAAAAAGTTAGTGAGACATACAAAAAATAAAAGTTGACAAAGTTTTAAGGGAGTATGTTATTGTTATTATTTTAGATGATTAGTATGAGAGGTTTCATATAAAATGTCAACCACAAATGATGTAGATCAACCAATCTTGAAGTTTGTGTTTCTTTTTTAATTTTGCCATGATTGGATCAATTTTCTCGTCAGCGTGACTTTAGTGTCCTGATGCCACATTGATAATGAATGTTTCATTAAAAAAAGATGTTACCTCATCCTCCATGAGGTCGCCAACGTTTACCGAACAGTTAGATTGGGAGGATGAATTTTTATGTATCACTCTTTCCTACCCTCTTTTTACACGTATGATGAACTTTCATTTCAAAATATATTTTAAAATTTGTCAATAGCTTTGATGTCATTACTAAATCTGTCCAGATTTGAAACATAGTTATTTTAGTAAATACTCCCTCCGCCTTTCTGTAATTGTCCCATTTTTCCATTTTTGGATGTCCCTTTATTATTATCTCATACCATATTTGGTAACATTTGTGTGATTCTAATTCATTCTTACTTTATTTCCACTTTATCAACTCATTACCAATCACATAATTCTAATTTTCTTAAAAATCATATCACTCCCTTCTGTACCAATATTAGGGGGCGGAGGGAGTAAGTATTGAAAAGTGGTCGTTAAGACCAAATCCATTGATGAAAAAGAAATTTTAGGACAATGCAGAAAAGGAAAATTTCAATAAATTAAATTAAAACAGGAAATATATTTATATGCATTAAATTACCTGTCAAATCCAACCATGTTTTGAATTTAACCATGGTTGGGTAGCCTCCCCAAGATGACAAAATAAAAAGTATGACTACTTCCGAATAAAACCGCCCAAAAACATGAAAAGAAACTCCTCTTACTTGGTTATATGTTGATTTTAAAATTGTGTATACCCTCCCTATTTTACTTTAAAATTGTGGAATGTATTAAAAAGTTTGATATAGTTTCTCCTTTTGGTAAGTTTTCCTTTTAAACTACTTCCTTATAGTTTCAAATACTCTTATTTTTTACTTTTTACATTCTATTTTATATTCTTACACTTTTTCTCCTACTTTTTGACAAAATTCATTACATCTATTACTTTCTTTTTTAAATAATATATCAAAGTAAGATCCGTAAAATAGGAGAGAGTATTTGAAAAGAGAATTGGCTAAGTGGAAATGTCATTTGCACCCATATTAATTAAATTATTACGGAGTATTACTTTGAAAGAATGACAAAAATATTACGTCCTAGTTTTCATTAGACAAAAATATAATCAGATTCCTATGTGGACAAAAAAGTGACCAAATAATATTGAAATGACCAGAATACCCCTCTATGTCGTCCTTCCTATCACTGTCACCACTGCACTTGCGCGTCGCCTCTTCGTGCTGCCTCCTCTCCTTTTCCTCTCCTTTCTTCTCGTATGCATCTCTATCTTTGCTCTCCCAATCTAGTAAAAGACCAGATCTCGTCCGAGCCAACGACGAAGACCAGATCCCTACGACGGCTCCTCAGATCTAGGCAAAGTCTTGCAACGGTGAATGCGGCGATTTGTGGCGGGGTTGCGACACAGCCTCTGAATCTGTTCCTACGATGGTTAGGGTCTGATTGCTTTCGACAACTAGAGTTTCGTGTAGTCGTTTGTTGCAGGTAGGCCTTTGATCGATTTCAGTTGCTAGGGTTCTTAGGTCACCAACAATGGCCGCAACCCTATCAGCGTCCTTAAATTCGACGATAAGGACCAGACTTGGAGCATGGTTGAACGGTGGTGGGGCGATGGTTGACCGATGGCAGGGGTAGGGCTGGTGGTGTTGCAATGACAAAGGTTGTGTAGGGACCATGATGGGGAAGGGGAGACATTGGTCACCGGCCGGACGACTGTAGTCACCAACCTTATGGGGCAGACAAATTTATTTGATATTTAGGATGTAACTGTAATTGACATAATTTGTGTCACTGTGGTCGACAATGGTCGGCGGCCGTCACCGGTAGGAGGTTGTAGTGAATGTCATTATATCCGTATCACTAGAAATAAATTAGTAAGCTAACTACTTGTTAATCATATTTTTTAAATCTAATGAAAAGGTCACTTTTTTTCTAGAAAAGAGGATAAAAAGAAGTTTGTTACGAACTTTATGATATCTGGGAGTATCAAATAAAGAGTTTTAGGCACACTTCGTACGGAGTAGTAAATTATGCGGTGTATAAAAAGAGGGCGACATAGTAATCTGCTCACTCCCACTATCTGTGTCATACTCGCTTGTGGAAAACAATGGAGAACAGCCCCCAGCAAGCGTCGGCCGCAGCAGCCCAGATAGCCGGTGGATATCCGCCGGCGCAGCCACCGTACCACCATCTCTTCCAGCAACAGCAACAGACGCTACAAAAGTTCTGGAACTTCCAACGGCATGAGATCGAGCAGGTGAACGACTTCAAAAACCACCAGCTACCTCTCGCCCGCATCAAGAAGATCATGAAGGCCGACGAGGACGTCCGGATGATCTCCGCCGAGGCACCCATCCTCTTCGCCAAGGCCTGCGAGCTTTTCATTCTCGAGCTCACCATCCGGTCCTGGATCCACGCCGAGGAGAACAAGCGCCGCACCCTCCAGAAGAACGACATCGCCGCCGCAATCACCCGCACGGACATTTTCGATTTCCTCGTCGACATTGTCCCCCGAGACGAGATCAAGGACGAGGCCGCTTCCCTCGTCGGCCCTGTTTCCGCCGGAATCGTCCCTGGCTCCACCGCTAGCGGAGTCCCTTACTATTACCCTCCAATGGCCCAGCCCACACCCACCGGCGTCATGATTGGGAGGCCCTCCGTGGATCCGTCGATGTACGTGCAGCCACCACCTCCGCCGTCGCAGGCATGGCAGTCTGTGTGGCAGCCTCAGGAAGACAATTCCTATGCCAGTGGGGGAAGCAGTGGCCAGGGTAACCTTGACGGCCAAGGGTAAGTCTCTGCTTCTGCAGGATCTATAGTAATCTAGGGTTTCTAATTCAAATTTCCCAAATTATGCTTCCTTTTCCCGTTTCCCAAATATATATTTCTTTCCCGTTTGGTTATGCTCCAATTTGAGAAATATGGTCACCAATATGAGAAGAGCACAAGAAAAGAAAAAGGAAAAAAGATAGATGACTAGAGCAGAATTACAGAATATAAGGACAGAACTTTGGACAAAAATGTGAAAGCTTCACATATGGGACATAAAAAACGATACAAATTGTAATTTACTCCTGTTTCAATGATTTTTTTTATAAATGAACATTCACAATGTCAAGTACACTGTCTACATGTAGATATTGTGATTGAAATTGAAGATTAAAGCAACTAAAAATAGATGGTTGTGAAACAAGGATAAAAATCTCATTAATCAAATTTTATTTGTCTATCTTTTTCATATCACATACACATATTTTTGTCGTTGTTATGCGCCTATGTCAATCAAAGTCACCTTCATTTAACGGCAGGACATACCTTTAATCGAAAAGATGTGCATGAGGGGGAGAGATGGAAGAGAGAGCTTGTATTTGATCTTTTGGATCTCTACCATGTTTTCTTCAAACAGCTTTTGGTTTAAAAGATATACCTATTCCAAACTTCAGTTAGTCATGTATTTGACTTTACCGCTAACAATTGTGTAGTTACGAGTAGGCTTCATTTGTCAATTACCCCGTCATCATGTGGATGCACTTGTGTCTACTTCTACATATCAATATTGTCCATACTTCCAATGTTCCTTCAACAAAATGGTAATTGCACCTCAGCAAAAAAGCTGTAATGTATTGATAGACCAAGTAAAGCGAGCTAACACGGTGGAACCCTGGGATCACATAACAACTCAGTGACTCAAGGTTTGATAGGGAACTTGAAGCACTTTGAGGGAAAGTGTAGGAACCCCAAAAAAATTGGTGACAGAAGATGCATCTTCAGGATCAGGATAAAGAACAATGATCGTAAGCACAAATCATTGTCGATCATTTTTAGACTTAAACGGAAAAGTTTGCTTTACACAATAGAATGGTAATCAGGTCTAAAGAGGTATATAGGCCACATTTGCAATGTGTTTTTTGCTTTAAGGGGTGTTTTGAATTGATTTTGTTTGTATTTCTTTTTTAAATGTAGAAGTAAAATTAGAATCAGATTTGTAGAAGTTGGTCTATGTCAACTTCTAAAAAACTGTTTCTAAAAGCAATTTGGGGCACTTAAAAGTTGCTCCTACACTTTTATCCTCACACTCCAATATAGCTTATGAAGGAGCACAAATAAGTTTAAGAAGCACCTCAAACACCTACTACAGTACTACTAGGTCACCCTAGCCTCTTATCAGATCAGCCACTTCAATATTTGAAGTGTTATTATCCATACAAGGTTTAGGAAAATTTTCTAGCTGTAGTTCACCAATATTTATCGTGACTTTATAAGAGTTTGTGGAATCTAAAATATCCATAAAAGCAACAACCAAATTGAAAAGCACAATTTAATCGAACACACAAAATATTGTGAAAAGATTGAATAGCAAACCTAATTTTGAAGAGAGATGCTGGTAAGGCTGGTTTGGAACAAAGAAGATGACAAATTGGGGAAAAGAGGGTTCTGAAGTCTGAACGACAGAGGCCCTTCGAAATCTAGACGGTAACGATTGACTGGATCTCGATGGCACGGAAGAAGTTTCACGATCAGGGTTGTGTGAAACTGGATCGCAAAGGGAATAAGAGGACAAAGGATGGTGGACAATGAGATGCGGAACCCCAATGAATAGGCGGCAGTGTCACGAGTGAGGAAGGCAACGTGTATTGAAAAAAGTTGATCATGGCAGTGTGAAATGTGATACCGAAGGCATGTGTTTGCAGGGTTGCTGGCGGTGGATTTAGTTGCAGGCAACGTCGACGGTGTTTTGGTAGATGATATGTTTGTAGCAAGTATCGGCAGTAATGTCTCCGGGAATGGTTGTAGTGGTGTCCTGGCCAGCTACAAATCCTACACCATAAAGGTGTCCGGCAAAACCAAATCAGCAACAATGGTAATGTCTAGTTGTTGAAGGGAAGTAAATTTATCTACGATTAAGCACTTGCGCTATGAATGCCACATTAATGTTTTTACCAAATGGAGCAGATATTTTGGACTTCTAACAATGGTAACTAATACACAGTTCGCATGGACATCTAGGTTAACTGTGACCAAAACACACTAATGATACCTTTTCAACACGCAATGACTGTCGTTTGAATGCTTAGCTCCTATTTTCTACTATAAAATCATGTAATTCTTCGAGAAACCTCAAATGTAATACACTCATGACTCCTCTCCATTATATTACTTTAGTGTTTTAATTGTTTTTCAGTTGTTGTAATTACTTTCATTCGGGCAAGTTGGTAATAAAAAATCAAGCTCACTGGCCTCCTCCCTGTGGGCGGGCGGGTCTCTGTATGTGTGTGCATTTTGAATCATATAAAGAGAGTTTCTTTTCATAAAAGATTTCATCTCATAGAAAAAAAATCAATTTATGCATAAAATTTGAGACCTATTTGCTTATAATAAGTCAACAATGCTCTAGATTTGCTAAAAAAATGCGGTGATAATATGGTAGATAAATAAAATTTTATTTCTTTACAAAAATATGATGAGTAAAAGGTGTACTATTTGCACTTGTCATGGCAAGATAACTTTTTATTAAAAGCGCACCATATATACATACATAATCATTTGCTTGTTTATACTATTACTACTTATAACATCGTTCTTCTATAGCTAATTGGATAACTAGTTTACTTAAATTTGAAATCTATAACTTGTAAATTGTACTCCGTAAATAAAAACTACTCCTTCCGTCCCGAAAAATTCTTCCCACTTTGATTTGGATCGGAGTTTAATGCAAGTGATAAATGGCATTGACTTTCCATGTATACCCCTATACTAAAGAAAAAGGCGGCCGAAAGGGAAGGGGGTAAATTTTTTTACTGCAAGTACAAAAAACAATATTTGATGTGATAGCTGCAATCCAAGGGATATTTTCCTACGCATAGGATACAATCCAGGATGTTTTGGAAACCCCACTTACAAAAAAACTTCCCTCCAAGATTTGCCTCTCTTTTTCCATCTATAAATACACTTTCTAAAAGAAGAATTTAATACACACAACACACACAACACACTAGGCTACATACGGACTACATTTATGGAAGTCAACATAAATGCTGCCCAGTCTTCTTCTTCCCCTTCTGCACCTTCCATAAATGAAGATTTGGCTTCATCTCCATTAACTGCTTCTTCACCATCCATAAATGAAGACCTACCTCCATCTTTATTAGGCTCTGCTGCAGATCTGCAAACAACACAAGACCCAAGCTCAAATATCAAAGCAAAAAGATCAGCAAACAATGAAAGAGAGAGCATAATAGATGAAATGCTAATCACTGCTAAAAGAGATATTTCTGGGGCATTACTAGCTCAGAGATGTGTGTTTTCTAAGCTAGCCACTAAATACTCAGTGACTAGAAGAACTATTTTCAACCTTTGGAACACAGCCAAAGACCAGCTTGAAAAAGGGGAAGTTGTAGATGTACGTCCAAAGTGGGTGGGAAACTCAGGCAGAAAAAGAGTCATGTTTGATGTTAGTCATATTCCAGAAATCCCTCCCCATAAAAGGACCAACATAAGGGCATGCACTTGCCTCTGCCTCATCAATGTCAAGGTCAACCATTCAACGGCTGGTTTGCAGAGGTATTCTCAGAAGTCACACTAATGCTATAAAGCCTTTGCTAAGTGACACAAACAGGATGTCAAGACTGAATTTCTGTTATAGGCAGGTAGACACATCAATTCCATCAAAACCAATTTTTAAAAACTTTCAAAATGTCATACACATATATGAAAAATGGTTTTTCCTGTCCAAAACATCACAAAGATACTACATGGGGCTACAAGAGCAGGATCCACATAGAGTATGCAAATCCAAAAGATTCATAACTAAAGTTATGTCACTTGGAGCAGTTGGTAGGCCTCTATTTGCAGATAATGGTGATATAATTTGGGATGGGAAAGTTGGTATTTTCCCATTTGTTGAGAAAGTGGCAGCTAAAAGAAAAAGCAAAAACAGAAATGCAGGGGTCATGGAAACCAAACCTATACTGAGCATTAATAAACCAGTGTTTAAAGAGATGCTAATACACACAGTGCTACCTGCAATCAAGTCCAAATGGCCAGAACAATTAAGCAAGGACATCATTATCCAACAGGATAATGCAAGGCCACACATTCTAGATTCTGATCCAGATTTTATGGTTGCATGTAAAGCAGATGGGTTTAACATTACCCTTACTAATCAGCCCTCTAATTCCCTAGATCTCAACATACTAGACCTTGGCTTATTTAGGGCAATCCAGTCTCTAAAAGACCAGAAAGCACCTAAGAATGTGGATGAAATGCTACAGGCAGTTGATGAGGCATTCTATGAGCTTTCACCCATGACTCTCAACAAGATGTGGCTTAGCTTTCAATATGTCATGTTACAAATTTTCAAAGTGGAGGGTGGAACAACTACAATCTACCACACAATGCAAAGGATAGAATGATTGCAGAAGGTACTCTGCCAACAAGCATAGAGGTTGATGTCGAGCTGCTTGATGCTGTAGGAGGTCTTTTATCCCAATCAGTAAATACTACCAGTACTAGTGAAGACGCAGAAGAGCCAAATAATGGGGAGTTCATACTGGAAGATGAGGAGGAATAGTTCATCTTCAGTCATGAACTCTATCCATTGTTGTATAGGCCTGATTTTTTGTCGTTTTGTAAAGGCCTATACTTATTTAAATTTAGAACTAGCCTGTTTTTGTCATTTTGTGAAGGCCTAATTTTTTGTCATATTATAAATGCCTGTTTTTGTGAATTAGTATTGGCCTGTATTTGTAGCAACTCAGAATTGAATTCATCATTGTAACATAACAACAATATGTCTTAGCTTACACATTGTCATCATAGCACCATGCCTCATCATACCAGCCTGCCACAGGCCTAAACAGACCTTCCAATTGGTCATCACAATATAGAACAAGACCAAACACACATACATAGCATCCAAAGACTTGGGCTAATGCTTGGTAAGACATGGGAAGGTCATCATACCAGCCTGCCACAGGACTTGCTCAGATCTTCCAATTAGTCATCACAACATACAACAAGATCAAGCACACACACATAGCATCCAAAGACCTGGGCTAATGCTTGGTAAGACCTGGGAAGGTCATCATACCAGCCTGCCACAGGACTTGCTCAGACCTTCCAATTGGTCATCACAGCATACATCAAGACCAAGCACACACACATACCAAGCAACAATTTCAGTCCTAAACACACCATATACTCATCATTGTTACCCCAAATTTAAACACTTTCACATAAGAAAAGGAGCATTCATGCAATAAAGCAAAATCAGTCAGGCATAGTCACACAGGAAGACTGGTTAAGAAAGAAACTCCCCTGTTATGTGTCGATGTCCCACATTCTAGACTCCCAGCAAGTTATAATGATTTTTAAGAAGGCCTCCAAACGGGGATTGCGAAAAGGGTGGTTTTACACCTCTCTTTGTCTTCGTGTGGCTTCAGACTCTGTAACTTCAGCCATCTCCTTATGTTCTTCACTGTCCGGTATCACAACCATCTCCTTCTGCTCTGGAAGTTGACCGTGTTCGTCCAACTCTTCTTCATTGTCCGGAACTACCAGCTCCAACGGACCTTCACCGTCTACCTCGTCCAACTCCTCTTCGCTATTCGGAACCACAAGATCCTCCATGCATTGATTGTATCCCACTGGATCTTGACCAAGGGTTCGAGGGCTTGATTTTGCATCCATGAAAGTCAGAGTAGGGTTTGAGAATTTCAGAAAAGGAGCAATGATTAGACGACGAAGGAGCTAGTGGAATTGAAATCAGAGAAGGAGAGAGTTTTATTTCGTACAACAATGGAGCCGGTGGAAGACTGAAGGAGAGGGAGATCGAAACTAGGAGGGAGGGAGGAGAGAGAGAGAGAGAGAGAGAGAGAGAGAGAGAGAGAGAGAGAGAGAGAGAGAGAGAGAGAGATGGGTCGATTAGGGTTAAGATGTGATAGGCCACAGAGAGTATAGGGGTGGGAGGATACGGAAGTGGCAAGGTAAAAAATAAAGAGGGGTATAAGGGGGTGTTTAGGTGGGGAAACTTTCCTTTTTTAGTAAGTGGGAAGAATTTTTTGGGACATCCCAAAAAGGAAAGTGGGAAGAATTTTATGGGACGGATGGAGTACTTTTTCATACTTTTAGATCATTTTAGTTTAAAACCCCCTTTTAGTTTCTACTAGTAGTCAAATTATAAAACAAAATATGAAAACATGGCTTTTTTACCCAAATGTTACTATAGGCCCCAAATAAAATCCGCCAAATCTATAACTAAGCACATCGAATATGATTTTTATTTATGTTGGATAATTGATACTCATATTGTATAAACTAGGAAAGATTGAACAGGAAAGAAGGATAAGAAGTATTGTGTATTGAATGTGTATTGTGTGTAGCCTCCTAAAGGAGTATATATAGGGAAAATCTGGGTCTGGGCCTCTAATATGGGCCTGACAGACCCGATTACATAAATGAACTCATAGTACAAAAAACTAATCTAGAAATTATGAATAATAATAATGTACAATAATATGAATGATATCCGCTAAACGTGTGTGGGCCGCTGTCTAGGCCCAATAGTCGGCAGACCGGGGGGTCGGAGTCCATATATTCCATCAGGAGTCCCCCACTCCCTGAGTCGAGAGTACTCGAGGCGAAAGGGAGTAGTCCAAATTGTATCTGCAACGTTCTTCTGTCTTTGATTTCTTCCTCTCTGGCCGGGGACCACCAACCTTGTCCATGATGGGGAGGTGCCTCGTTAAAAACCTTTACTAGGAAAAAACCTGTGGGAAAAATCCTAATAAAGGGGAAAAGAGTACACCTAGCGCCCCCAACATGAAACAAGGAAGGTAGACCCCTTCCGGCATAATCATTTTTGTCTTGTTCAACTTGTCTTCATCTGACATAGCTCTCATTCCTGCTCATGCGTGATATTGGCTGCTCATCCAGAAAATCTGACCTCTCAGTCCCCCAGTCCCCCACTCTTTGAGGCGAGTGGAGTCGAGGTGAAAATGAGTAAAGTCATCTTCCTACCTACACATTTAGCATGCATAAAAAATTTTTCTTTAGGGTTTATGTTTCCGATCGGGAGTTCGTCACTTGAAAAAGTGGAAATGTGAATTGTTGATGTAATGATAGAATACTTAGTAGAGTGGAGGTGTGAGCCATTCGTACGCAACGGTCACCACTCTTGGAATGACTAAGACCGGTCTTCGTGCCTGAGATTCAGGGCTTTGTGCCTGAGGAGTCGGGGCTTTGTGCTTGAGGAGT